CATGGCTGATTCAACATTACAGATCCTAAGCAACCTCATCACAACAGGTAAATGGCATTTAATAGACACTCTAGACATACAATCCAATCCCAATGTAAAGGTTTTGGACTTGAAAGCATGTGAGAAAATTAAAACAGAACTTACACTAAACGAGCATGATGGAATTATATTACGAGGTTCGCTAATTGTGCTTCCAGAAAGCCTTAGACTAAAGGCTGTTCAAATTGCTCATGAAGGCCACCAAGGGCTAGTAAAAACTAAACAGTTGTTGCGAGAAAAGGTTTGGTATCCAGGTATAGACAAGCTTGCTAAGCACACAGTGGATACTTGTTTGTTATGTCAGGCAAATGGACCAAACAGTCACCAAGAACCACTGCGAATGACGACGCTGCCTCCCCAACCCTGGCATACAGTGAACATTGATTTTTGTGGACCATTTCTAGGTGGTTCATATCTGTTAGTGATTATTGATGCATATTCACGATTTCCAGAGGTGGAAATTGTAAGTTCAACATCTGCAAAATCAACAATATTGAAACTTGAACGAATTTTTGCCACACATGGTATTCCAAAGGTGTTAAAGAGTGATAACGGTCCACCATTCCAGAGCCATGAATTTAGTCGGTACTTGAAAGAACTCGGCATTAAACATAAACCAAGCTCACCATTATGGCCCCAAGGAAATGGACAAGCCGAGAACTTTATGAAACCACTTGTAAAGGCTGTGAAATCTGCCCATCATGAAAACAAAGATTGGAAACGTGAAATGTTTAAATTTTTGCTCAACTACAGAGCTACCCCACATTCCACCACTGGCAAGTCACCGTCCGAGTTGCTATACAACCGTAAGATTCAAACAAAATTACCTCAAGTGACAGTCGAAAATGATTCTTCACTTCATCAAGAGGTGAAAGAGAGAGATGAAAGGTTGAAAAAGAACCAAAAAGAATATGCTGATTCCAAAAGAAGAGTTAAGTGTGCTGACATCAAGAAAAGTGATTTAGTTTTGGTGCGGCAACCGAAAGCAAATAAAATGTCCACAAAATACGATCCAATACCATATGAAGTCACAAATCGCCGTGGGAACAGAATCACAGCAATTAGGAATGGGAAATATATAACTCGGAACATTTCGTTCTTTAAAAAGTATCACCCCAGACATGGCAGATCGTTGGAGTCAACAGAGATAATGGATGAAGAAAATTATTCCTCAGATGAAGATGTCCACGAAGAGCATGAACAGTATGATGGACTGAGACAGAATGATCGTCCGCGGCAGAACAATGGTCAGAGACAAGATGATGGTCCGAGATATCCGGCAAGAGAAAGACAGCGGGTGTACAGACATGGAAATAACATTTATGATTGACCTGGACTAAAACAGATAAGATACAGTTTAAACATTATATGCATATTTTGTTATAGTTAGTACTAGAGTTCATATTACGGAGCTTTAGATTTGACTACGAGTACGACTACGAGTACGAGATTTTATCGCGTGCTAGGAAATTACCGTAGTCGTTTTCGTTTCCATTCAAATGTTGTTTTTATAGCAGTAAACCAACAACGAGAGAAAAAGTTTCATAAACTAAATCTCCTGCAGACTAAAATCTCCTACAAAACGTGTAAATAAGTCATAACATTAAAAACAGGCCAGATATTTAGTATTAATATATTATTTGCGCCGGCTAAACGCTATATAAATGCTACAAATTATTTTTGGAAAACAAAAAAAAAAGCCAATTCTCTTTGTTTTTTTGAAAAGTCGTCGTGAGGACTACGAGATTTCTCCACAATTTCGTACTCAGATGGGCGACGGCTACGACTTTTTCGCATCAGTACGGGATGGCGTAAGCATACAGCATGCGTTTTCGCTTGACGAATCTCGTACTCGTAGTCGTACTCGTAGTCAAATCTAAAGCTCCCTATTTAAATCAAGGGAGGGATGCAATGTTGACATTATTGACACTAGCACACACGTGACTAGAAAGTTAGTTAAGTATTTTAGAAGCACGAGGCTAGGGAACCGGGAAGTAATTGGATACGTAATATGCTGTTTGTACAAGTTGTTTGATATCTATTGTTATACTTAAAAGTGCTTGATATTGATACAAAACCACGAACATTACACCATTCAACCCTGCTATTTAAATGTTAATAAACCTAAAACAAAGGATGTGCACGGTGTAAGGTACGGCTCAACATAAAATCCCAGCTCGTTAAAACCGCTTTGAAGTTTACCGAGTTTCCAGACCATGTCTCGAAAGACTATGTTGCAGATTACCCATCTTGTAATGTTAACTTATTTATATTTAGATTCAGTGCGACCGCTCTCTCGAACGCACTATATAGTACTGTACTTATAGGGTGCCACAATGCCAAATGGCTACTTAAATTTCATGGATGTCTGCGAAGTAATGGGAAAAAATACTGCAAAAAATGCAACCACCATTACAGTACCTTAGATTGTACATATCCTTTCTCGTGATCGATAGTCGCTTCAATCACACCGTCTCTTATTGCCTAAATTGAAATTTATAAATTTAATTAATAAGACATTCGTGCATTTGTGCATGAAAATATTAAATATATTTGATATATTTAGTTATCAAGTAAGTTGCTTCATCTTTCAACATAATAACCTCCTGCCACAACCTATTGCTTCACTTTTTACTGTAAACAGTGAAATGCATCATCACAATACTAGACAAAAACATAATCTTCATTTCACATTTAATAAATTATCATTTTCAATCAGATCCCAAGGACCAAAAATTTGGAACTCAATTCCGTATACTCTTCGTAATTCTCTAAAATATTTTAATTATAAGCGTATTTTGAAGGATTACTACTTATCTCTAGCTTATTAACTATATTAACCAACAACTGATATTCTTTGTTGTTTTATTGTCATTTTGCACTTTGATATTTTGTACCCAGTGTTTTGTATTTAATAATTGTTCACGTCTCTTCAATTATTACTATAACTGTAATCAGTAATCAGGAAATTTGGCTGTCCATCTATATAGCCATATAAGCCTCTGGCTTTGGCTAACGTGTAATTTAATTATTCATGAATAAAGACCATTATTATTATTATTTTTATTAAACAGTATGAAGAACAGTACGATGAGTCAAAGACAAACAAGCTGACAACCACGCAATAATATGACTCATGCGCGTTAAGATACAGACATGTCAGGTATTGACATCTAACAAATATATTTGTTAAAAATCCCCAAGGTGTACGCTTGCAAGACAAGCCCTATCTACAACGCTGTATAGAGGAGTGGCTAACCTATACCCAGAATCATTTTCCGGCTGACAAACGTCAAACGTAAAGTTAATTATTACGGAAAAAATCATTTATATACAATACACAATTTCTTTAACTGTACATTTTGAATCCACAGTGGATTTGATTTATCTTCAGCAGTGTACAATTTTCAAGAAATTGTTTAAGTTGTGTACATGCAGTTATCAAAAGATAGATCAAAATATACAGTTATAGAAACATACAGTTAAAGACATGTTATTACAGCTTTGTACTGTTTTTTTTTTAACGTTATAAGTTTAATTTTATAGTCACCGTTTTAATTTTATAGTTAGCGTTTTTCGTACAACCCTAACATCACAAATGTATTAAACAGTACCCAGTTGTTAAATCGGTATTTTCAATGTAATGATAAACCAAGCACTAAACTTCATCATCTTGTACGTAGGAATGACAAGGATGGGGGAGAGGTGGGGGCTGCTATAATCGACATATTTTCATCTCCTGTTCATAGGTGCAGATTTCATTAATAACGTCTCCATGTAAATGATCACAAATACAGTAACAATGAAACTAAAACCGAAGACTGACACAGTACTGGAAAATGTCCGCCAGCGCCAGCAGCATCACTTCCAGGAAATTTTTAACAAAATATCCTTGCAGGAAATTTTTTGTTCTTAAATCTCGCAGGAAACTTTTTGTCATATATTATATATACTAGAGTGCCATATATAATTTCCTCATTGTTGAGATTGTCCACCACAATTGTTCTTATCACTATATGTGTGACACCATAGACGTTATTCATAAATCGTGACGAGGCCTCGTATCCTAGGATACGGGAACAAAACGCGGGAAAACAAGCGAAAACTGCTTGACAAGCCAAATTCAGATGCTATTGTGTCGACTTTAACGGCTTATTTCTTGTTGCTTTTTGCGATTTATAACGAATTTTGTGTGTAATTTAAGACTTTGTGCCCACAACGAAAGCGGTAAACGAGTATATTATAAAAGCGACCGGTTTTCTCCCAAAAAAATTCACGAAAAAAAGCTGCCATAGCCGACAGCAAAAAAAAACATTTTGTCAATTTTCCCGCGTTTTTTCCCGTTTCCTAGGATACGAGGCCTCATCACGATTTATGAATAAGGTCTATACGTTCTCTGAAATCTATATTCAGTTATGGAGGAAGTTTTGCATTTGATTCACACAGGAAATTTCTATTTTTGGATTTTTCCGCCAGGAAGAGAAATATATTCTCTTGGTCTGGACCAACAAACCTTCCCGTCATTAACGACAGCACAATCATGCAGTTCTATTCAGTACATCTCACATGCAGTGCTAGGTCAGACACATGCATGCAGTAACGTAGCTAGTACAATATAGAAGCTATCGATTGTAAATTATAAACGTTGTGCCTAATTAGGAAGCGAAGGTTGTTGTTTAACGAATTCATGTTCCACATTTAGGGGCAAGGTTAGAGACAATAGAAAGGTTAAGATACCCCGATTCCGGTTTACGGGTGATATACTGCACGTACCCGTAAATCGGGGAATAACTTGTAACTTAAGAAATACAAGTACTCCGGCGTGAGAAAACCGATCAGAGAATGGCAACTTTCGCTGTTGAGGTTCGCCATAAATTGTTGAAAACTTTGACCAGCATATGTGCATTATTTATTTGTGTAAGATGTTGTTAAAATTTGTACTATTTAAACGGCCCAAAAATAGTAAACAGAAAACACCCGTACCCGTTTGTCGTTTACGTGTAGACCACGGTTTACAGCGGGGAAACGGGTAGAAATTACGGGTAAAATTGCTGACATCAGCAAAAATTGGTAAACAAAATGGCGATACTCGTACCCGTAAACCGGAACCTCTCTAGTAAGTAAAGAATGTTCCAATGTCATACCTTGGCTACGATGAACTCAGCGTCCTCGGGACTATCCAACTGCAGCTTTGAAGCAATCTCTTCCAAAGATATCTTGGAATATGACAAGCTGATCATACGGATGCCAGTTTTGATGACGTTGTGATGTAGTCTAAGTAATTTATAATGCAGCAATACCATATATCAAATAATTATTTTTAATGATTTAAAGATTTTGGGGCACCCCGTTCGGTATAACTAAAGGCAAATGTGGTATTTGTAGATGGAATTTTCGAACGAATATTTATATGCATTTTAGAGCTGACCGAGAGCAGCTGCGAGAAATGCAACTCTAGGTCATCCAGCATGAAACGAACCTGCGGCCTTGCGATTCCGATGCAGCGCTCTGACCAACGCTTGTTTATACAACAACCTGAGGTTAATGCTCGACAACTAGTGGACTCTACAGCTCAGTGAATCGCATGCAGTACCGCACATATAGGTTCATCAGGACATCAGAATATCTGCGTTGTTTGGAACAAGAGTTAACTGGAAGCACTCTTCTCACATGCAGTCAGTGGCGGACACTAGGGGGTTTTCAATAATTTTGAAAGACTGTAAAAATCTTGTACCAAATAACACAAATCACACTCATATAACGTAATTGTCATATTAAATAATAACTATTTGATAAAACGTAAGCTATTAAAACAGTAAGCAATATACCAAACAAGATATTAAATTAATAATATACGTTTCTGTACTGTACATGTCACAACATACACATTTTATACATTCTTTTCGACGGATACTAGGGGGTCAACTTTTTGCAACAGGCACTTCTTTAAATGTCATTGTCGATTTTTTATTGTTTTTGAAGCTTATACTATTGTTTAGCAGCGAATTTTTCTGCTGCACAATAATATTTGAATGCGTATTAAACTATTATGCTCAAAAACAACGGATAATTCAATTAACATTCCAATTTTAATTACTGTATGTTGACAAAAACAAAAGCGTGCGCAGCGAATAAATTTCACTCACTTAGCGAATATATTTTTACATTGTCATTGGCGTGTTAATTAAATTAAACCATGCCCTTGCAATTCCATTCACAAATGTTAATAATCATGTAAATCTTTTCTCTGAAAGGTTTGTTTTCTATGCTTAGCATGTGATTTATAACTAAATGCACCATTAAAACAGACGTGTTTTGAAAACCTAGTTTTTTACAAAATGTGTTCTCAGAATGCTGCAAATGACATTTCCGGGATCCAAATTTTAAAATTTTTCCTTGCCTTCTGCACGAGCCCCCCCATATTTCATAAAGTGTCCGCCAGTGCATGCAGTCCAAGAGGAGAAAGGCATAATTATGCACTGATCAATGTGCCTAGTGATTGGCAATCGGAAATTACCGATTATCGATTATTCATGCCACAATCTGCCAGAAACCGATGCCGATTTTACAATGACGTCATAATATCAGTCGACAGAGTAAAGGTGACATCATTCATGTCGATTTTTTAACGATAATTTCCAACGTAACATGTTACTGCAACCAAAGATCGTTAAAACTGTTAATAAATGGCACACTTCACGCATTAATTTAACATATTGCGTTAAAACGCAACGTGTATCAACGTGCAATGCATATGCAATAGGTTTTAGACAATCGGAAATATAGATAATTCTACCGATTCCGATTGTCTACTCATAAGGTAAAAATCGGCCGGATGCCGACTATCGGTCGATCACTAATTGTGCCAAAAATACCAATAACACAATACAGTAACTCACCAATTAAAAGGTATAAAAATTATAAAACTTACCTAATTATTAAAGTATATGTTTTTTCAGCAATAAATTTGTCTTTGTAATTCATGACAACGTCGTTAAATTGACCTAGATCTCCAGCAAGTACAGCTAAGAAAAATTGTTAAAAAACAGTTACATGTATGTGGAAGTTTAAGAATATCATCTTTCGTGCGTACGTACAGAAGGTTAGGGTTTGGAATCCAAGTGAGAATACATACATTTTAAGACCTAACCACGAACGACTGCGAAAAATGCAGCACAAGGTCCTCTGGTAGGAATCGAACCTACGGCCCTGCGATAATTCTACCAAGTGAAGTGCAGAATCTAAGTCATGTACGTACAGAAGCCACGTATAGGACTTATTGGAACTAAGGTTACACGTGCGATTTTTTCTCGCGTGGACAACGCAACAAACGTAATCGCGTTGCCAGCGCAAGAGAAGTGGCAACACGTGCAATGATTTTCTTGTCTGGTAAGACAAGTGCAAAGTCAGAGTTTTACAAATCGAGGCTAAATTAATGATTTCTTGACAAAATTTAGCGCTGTTAATCTTAGACACAGTTTAAAAGTTTGATCACTGTGAAAGTGTGGTGTGATGGATAGAAACAAAATTGATTTTTCCGTGTTGGTGTAATGTACTCAGGTGAATATGATGCTCGTGATGTTACTCTGAGTGTATATCCACACCGAGCAAGCTTGAAAAATATGCCTGGCCACGGTCACAAGCATCAGAAACAAAGATAACATTGATATCGAAGGAACTAGATTCTGTTCCGAAATATCACATACTCGAACCGACCAGACGGCGTAGCTCAGTTGGCAGAGCATTGGGCTAGTATTCCAAAGGTCGTAGGTTCGATTCCCACCGTGGTCGGGCGTGTTTTTCACGCTTGCCCGGTGTGGATGTGCACTCAGAGTAACATCACAAGCATAAAATTATTATATGTTGTCAATAGACCGCCTAAAGATCCTAATATGTGTTTAAAGGTGTATAATTTTGGAACAATTTGGAAATTAACTGATTTCGCCATGTATCAACAGTACTCATGGGTAAACTTGGAGATAAATATTTTACTGGTCCACTGCACTGGATCTGCAGCCCCAAATATATTTTTCTCTAGCCTGTCCACTTGTCAAGTAAAGCGACTTTCATTGGCTGGTAAACTAAATAGAATCGATTGCCGAAGGTATCAAGTTACAATTGCGTTGCCGCGCAGAACAAGATACCCGTTGCGTTGCAGGCGCGAGGAGAATCGCACGTTTAACCTATAGGCTTAAGCGTCGCAATATGGCAAAAGTATCGATGCTAACTCTAACCTTTTGTTAACTGAAAGTATGGAATCAACGTCTTTTTCAGAGCAGGATCTCTAAATGTTGCTCTGTCGGGAATTTCACCAAGAAGTAATTCAACAACGATTGCAAACTTCTGTGCCTATAAAGGAAGTAATTTCGTTTAATGCTGCTTACTGCAGTAATCTCGTGAACTAATTTGTCATCAGTCAAATGGGATAACTGTTATTTCAACTATAAGTGGGAAAATATTTTTTCTGCATTGTACGAAACAGTTTCTACAATATACTGTACATGTAACACTAAGCTAGCGTTACGAACCATTATATTATTATTTTTCATGCAGACTTTATAAAGCTTTACTTTGTTTGGCTCATGCTGTTTCAAAGGGGCAAGGAATCGTTTTTCTAATTCGGAATCTGTTTCTTTCTACATTTTTCAAGCTTTCAACAAGTCTAACTCCTTTTTCTCTGACGTTTTTGCTGCTTTATATTTTTCAGAGTTAACAAAATATTTATAAAAATATCACCAAAACCGCGGATCTTCTCGCGAGGAAATGTATCATGTTATCGTGTCAAAACGTTCTACAATCCTGGTCAAAAATATTGGCGCACTTGACACTGACTGTGCGAAATTTGACTCTCACTTCAATAACAAGCATAGCAACCCCCCTTCCCCCCGTTCAATGTTGTCTGTAGTGTGTTATACGTCCAAGGTGTTACACAACATTGATAAGGGGGATAGGGGTGTTTGGACATGAAATTTTGCATAAAATTGGCAAGTATTTTTTGGTCATCAGAAATGAAGTAAAGGTTATGCTATTTCGACTAAGTGCGCCAAGGATTCTTGACCAGGATTGTAGAATGCGTCTACATGCATTATTCAACAGCAGTGAACTCATTCAAACATTTGAAAAATATATTAGAAAATATCGACTTTAGTGGTACACCGTTCTAACGTTGTGAAATCGACATTTCCGGAATGGCGACATCTAATTGGACCGTTGGGAATTGTGGCGTGATTTATAGTTTAACATTAACATTAACAGTATTACGTAATAGGCGTAGGAATGAAGTCATGTCATGTTTAGTTTTTTTTTTGCGCAAGAGGAAGCATCCGCGGTTTTGTTAATACCTCAAAACGAAACAATGCGTTTTCATCAAGAATTAAACTTACAATTTGCCGGAATCCAACTGCAGAAAACTGTGGAGCCTTTCTGATGGCTTGAATTAAATTCTTATGCGCTTCTGAATACTCAAGTTGCTTGGCTTTTATTATTCCTGTCAAGAAAAAAAACACGACCTTTGTAAACTTGTATTCGAAAAATTATTCATAAGAATCGTTGCATGATGAATTAAGTGTGCGCCAGAGACCCCCTTAGTCAGCGAGTTTGGTTGGGAAGTAAACCAAGGGCAAGTCAATATCAGACGGATGACCATGCCGGCAGCTTCTGATGGAATTCTGGAAACGTTAACTGTGGTTGTAAGTCTGGATGTTCAACAACCTCGTACGAGGTTGGATGTTCAACAAGACGTTGTGTCTGTGTCTGTCAAAAAGCAGATGTGAAGGGTACTGTCTTTGTTCCTGTTGCGAGTGCACAAATTTTCCCGACCAGAATACAGACGAGAACAATTTGTCAGGTGATGACAATGATGGTGGCCTATTATTCGAACTTGATGGCGATGACAATGGATTCGATGGCACGAAGAACAATTATGGTAATGCACATAGGTATTATCTGCGTAGTGCAGTAGATAAGTATTTATTTACTCATTCGATATTCTCATTCGGATCCACAGTACTTATATTATAAACACGTATATCCCTCTCATGGACAAGGTTAATGTATGGTCATGGCTGAGAAGCTGAAACGCACCCTGGTGGGGGAGCTTAAACGAAAAACCAGGTTGAATCGTTCCTTGTTATTCTAGATAGTAGCTAAATACCAACTTATGTCACAATATAATATATAGTAGAACTTTACCAGACAAAAGCCAGGACAGCTTATTGTAGAATACATGGATCCAATAAGTGGGACTTTATTGCACTGATGAAAATCTGGGCTCAATGATGAAAACATATCTTTCAGTTATAGATAGTTATGATAATATTATGGATTTTATATTTCCTCCCAATTTATCTTTTTTCATGATGAATTTCGAGTTGGTGCCTGGGAGATGTTTCTTTCACAGTTAAACGTCCTTCACTGGCGCAGTCCGGTTTCGTCGGTTGCAAAAGATGGTTGGAACGAATGGAAAAGTTGGTCCAAATCCAAGATTGGTATGATAGAGTATACTTAAGCGATGGATGGAACGCACAAATTAAGAAGCGCCAAACATATCTTGCATAGTTGATAGTATTCAATAATACATTAAAAATTCAATCAGAGGTTTTCCTAGGAGTTTATATAAATATCGCTTAATTTAAATACCGGGACAAACTGTGAAACATTGTTGCGCAAAGATATTTGTCATATTTATATTTGTCTTACCAATGTTTCGGTATGTCATTACCAGCGTCGGCAAACGGGGAAAGAGTGTTTCACCAAATGTTTCTGAATTTGGTAGGAAATATTTTTGCTTTCCGGGAAGGAAATTTTGTTTCTGCAATAAAAGCCAATGTTTCCAGATATTGGAGACAGGGAAAACTTTGAGCAAACATTGAAAATCACGAATATTTTCACGACAATGTTTTTCACGTTTGGTCAAGGCTTTAGTTTAGCGAAAAATTTATATATTCTCCGTCCTGTTTGACACATGCAGGTGAGTTTTTACGTCGCACAAATTTGCATTGAATTAGGATGTTAATAAGTAGAATTAAATGTTATAACGGTATTTTGAAACAATAGCCACTGAATTGAAGTAATTTAGCATATGAGCAAGTAAAATATACAAGAAGGTGTTTTAAACAACATTTAATTTGTGTGTATTATTTATTCGTTAATATTACAAGGTTTGTCAGGTTTGATCTCTACTCCGTGATTTTATTTTGTTGTTTTGTATACGGGGGAAATCGCGCGGGGAAAACCCACAGGGAAAATCCATTTTTCTTGTCTGTGCGTGCGTGCGCAATGCGAGTTCGACTGACATGCGCATACGTATTTGCTACCAAAACAATGGCGGTTCGAATATTTCGAATTAAGCGGGAAAATATCAAACTTTGGAGGAATATTTTTCCCAATTGTGCACCTGTTTCGCTTGGGGAGCAACGGATTCTGATAAAGTAAGTTTTTATCCATTGATTCATGCGAAAATTACGTAGTTACACGAGCTAGGGGTGCACGTAGTTACACGAGGGGTGCCTAAAGTTACCGCGTACAAAATGGCTCTCAAACCTTGCGGAGTGTCGTGACATCATTTTCTACTGTAGCATTATGCCTATCATAGCAAAGCATCCCAACACATTCATATCAAATAATACTGGATGCATAACTTGGTATACATTACTAAACCACAGGCTGTCTCTCATAGGAACTGTGCAGTAATAAACAAGGTATATGTCTTCTTCAGTAAGAATGAAAACCTACCGGTGTAATATAAATATCTTGCCCATTCACTGTTTGACGCAGTATCGGGAAAGGACGATTTTGAAACCAGTTTGTCGGCCTATAAAGACACATTAGAGACATTAAGTGTTTACAGTAAAAGCTAACCGCTAACAGCCAATCGCATTTGAACTTTGAAGATAAGGTTTGAGGATAAAGTTTTCGACGGTTAGCTAATTCGTGCTTCAATTTATTGTACTGTATACATTGGCTCAACTTTGAATGGATAATTGTTGACATCAAAATACGACTTGAGGTTTATCGTTTGCGGTTAGCAGAAGACTATAAGTTCACAATATACCGGAGCGGTTTGAAAACGGCGCACAAAAGTCACAATTAGCCGTCGCGTTCACAATACACAGGAGCCGGGTAATGTTTTGAAATGCCATACCCATAACGATTTGAGCAGGGTTTTTAAACGGAGCGAGATGAAAACGAAGCGCTTGGCGGCTTCGTGTGAACACAAACAATGTTACTTTTTTGTACTGCTTGCAAACCAAGCATCTCTGGTCTCATTGAAAACGGTAAATTCTAATGTTTTCCGTTTAATTTTTTTTGCTCCATTCGAAATATTTTGGGTTTACAGGAGTGCTAATTTAATTTGAAAACAATTAAATTGTGATGGCGTAGTGTGAACACACGTATGTAAATTCTGCCGGCATTATATCTAAAACATTGTTGCTGAAGTGCCCAACCAATATTTTCATTCTTTAATTCATAGAAATCATACTGCAGATGCGAAATAACGTTTCCATGGAGCTTCCTTATTTCACTATAATTGCGTCATAAATCAAATAAGTTATTGTATTAGTATGCATGATGCATTAGTTTGCATCATTGAAGAAACTTTGATATAAAAAGTATATTGAGGCATACGAAACCTTGTGTGGGCTATCAAATTTTTATTGCAGCAATCTTTTTGGCAACAAATTTGAGACTTCGTAAAGACCGTGCGTCGCAGCAAAATCTAATAAGTTTTTATGAATATCCATAACAATAGGCTAACAGTAAACGCACAAGTTTTAATTACATTATACCTGATCGTACAAATTGTAGTGCAGATAATTTCGTAATAGTAAATTGAGCAGTGTTGCCTAGGAAACAAGACAATATATCTTATTTCAATACAAAAGAATAAACCTATACATTACACAGTAGTTTTAAAAAGCAAAATGTAATATTAATGTTGAGATTCACCTGTCCTTCTATATTGTGTCTCAAAGTTGCTGTCCTTAATTTTGAGTGAAAGAAGCTACAGAATGATAAACATATATGTACAGGAACTCCAACGATTGTTGCCGCGTATACTTGAACTGGTACAAAAACGTAAGACTCAAAGTGCACTATTCTTTAAAGGTACGTTTAAGCTATACGTTTTTACACGCTGCGATTTGTCGTGTACAATTCGTATTCTGGCGTATGAAAGTTACTGCTGACGCCACAATTTCTCTTCATTTAGTTTATGGGGATATTTGAAATGCAACCACTTTATACGCGTACCACTAAAACAAGGCAGCATATAATTTCAGTGTATCTTTAATATTGATTCCCTTTTTTATGATATTGAATTTTTTAAATAAATAAAAAAGAAAGCAAAGTTATTTGCAAGCGAGAATTTGAAATAATTTTATTGCAAACTCAAAGTTTATCGATAAAGCCATTTTAAAAAGCAGTTTAGTTTTATAAAGAACACTAGTGACTTTAAAACGTTTTGCGAAGCGTTTGTGGTTGAATTTTACCTTAAATTTAGGCTTATATTACGTATAATAACATACCTAACATATATATGTTGGGAAATTAACAATTTTGTAATTAAAAGTGATATTTTTAGGCGATTTTTCATTTGTAAGAATATTATTAAAAAATTATCGTGTTACCATGAAACTACTTTTATTATAGATAATTCATGTTCGGAAAATACAATGGTTTTGTCAGCAAGGCGAGGGTTTCTGCATGCATGTATTTTCTAGTATGTTCTCTCTGTTTATAACTACTCTCCCTATATTTTCAGTTTTAAACTGTTGTATTTCGGCTGATAAGAAAGATCGTGACTCAATCTTTACAAACCGTTACAATTAAACGATCATACGCAAACCAGGCTTAAAGCACAAGTTTCTGAAAAGTATAATAGAAGTTTCTGAAAGGTATTCATTAAGTAATAGTAGTCAATATAGATCAAGGAGCACAATACAAACACTATACAAACGACAACAACGTGCCTTAGTCCTATCTCATCCCATCAGTCCAGTGCTGTAACAGTTACAGTTTATTTGTAACTAGTTACAGTTATAGTTACATTACCAAAAACATAACTAGTTACCGATACAAGTTACAGACGCCAAAATGTAACTAGTTACAGTTACAAAGTTGTAATATATTTTTTGTAATTTAGTTACAAAGTTACAAGTTACATTTATTGATTGCAACTAAGAATGCATACAATTGGAATGGGCCGAATGGTAATGAAATTTCCGGCAAAATTATTGGCAAAATTTATAACTATTTACTAGATTTTATCTGCATGCATCTATAAAATTCCACCAAATCGATTTTTTAATGGAATTGTAAATTGAAAAACTCTGCTATTATACAGTCTGAGCGAACAGATTAAAAAATATATCAAATATCCCTCACTGGCTAGTGGCTTCTCACTTCGCAATGAAAAAGCAGAAACGTGAATACGTGATCAAGACTGGGCCAAGGCCAAGTGAAATGAGGCCAAAGACCAAATATGACGAGGCCAAAGCCCAATTGAAGGCCAGCGACGGCATTCCGATCAGTTCCAACTGTACTTAAATTTGACGACAATCCTTGATTAAATTTGTGTCTTGAACGGATTCTGTTGTGTCAGATGATTAAGAGCTTGCCTCACTGTGTATTGGTTTATTTCATTTTAAAAACGTACACAAATACTGTATAGCAACGAACAAAATGTAACTTGTAACTTTGGCAAAATAACTTGCAATCGTTTCAATTTTATGGCATTTTTTGTAACTAGTTACCGTTACAGTTACATGTTCTCAAAATGTAACACGTTACCGTTACCGTTACTGAAAAATGTAACGATTACTTGTAACTAGTTACTTTTAACGAAGTTACTTACAGCACTGCATCAGTCCAATCATGTTTAATGCCAATTATATAGTAGTAATGTCAGACTTACACTATATTCCGACTAAATTACGGTGTTGAAATCCTTGGGCTTGCTAAGGCGATAGCACGAGTACCGCGTACCTACGTAGTACATGGCTGAAAATACAGACCGTAATATTGGCGCAACTTCGGTAAGCGAATTATCGCACCCTGACTGTACAAAGGATATACTATACAGTGCATGAAAAACAGAGTCGTACTGTATAACTTAATAAATACTTAATGTATTCCATTTGATACAGTACAATGACAATGCGTTTTACAGTAGTTTCTAAAGATACGCACCTTCTGATTTCGTCTAATCGCTCAAGTAGTTCGTATGTTCTGGAGTGATAGAAAAAACATTTAGCCAAGATCAGATCTAACGTTCGCCTGTTGTGTAGCTCTGACTTTTGTAGAAGTAACGTGGAACATTTTAACGCCTGAAACATAAAGTATAAAATAGAAATAAATGTAAAAGGTAAGGCCTTTTTACCTACTTCCATACGTCGAATTAACTTGCTATTAAATTGGTCAAATCCACGATGGTTTCGAATTATCAAAGATAATACCAGCGACAACTTTATTTTAATATTATCAGCATCATCACTTATATATAGATTGCTAATGATATCTTCAAAGAAACAACACGTTTTTGTGGAGTCTAACATGCTCTAAATGTAATTTTAGCCGTGCAATTTAGATCGCTTTACCAAAAGGTCTTGTCCCGGCAGGGATAAGTAAAATATAAAGTAGACAGCATTACTGATTTATTAAGGAGCGGCGAGAATTATTGTCCAGGGAGAATTGCTTGCCTCGAGACATGAAGCTGTTCCGGGTTCATGTGAACATGGCTGTTAGTGTAATGAGTAAAAAGTGACTTACGTTAACAACTGTTCAAATTGCAACTCTAATTAATTTCAGATATAGTTTTGTAAGACATGAACAAAATCAATTCAGGAAAATGTCCGTTTTTCAACGTTCTGGCTGCGGAATAATAGACCGACAAATTTCAGAAAATATCCAATAACAATTCAAGCAAGAATAATTGAAGGATTTGTAATATCGATTATATACAGTACTTGTATTATTACAGGACAAAAATTTCACCACAGCTTGAAAGAGCATCACAAAATTAGTAATATTCCGAAGTTTCGTTGCAAAATGTTGTAAAATGAGGATAATATAGCCCTGCGAAGATTGCCGTTTTTCAGCCATTTTGTATTAAAAATGGAAAATTGATAATCAGATGATCAAACTGATTATCAATTTCCCGTTTGTAATACCAAATGACTGAAAAACGGCAAACTTCGCAAGGCTATATTATCCGCATTTTACAACATTTCGCAACGAAACTTCGGAATATTACTAATTTTGTGATGCTCTTTCAAGCTGTGATGAAATTTTTGTCCAGACTTGTCTAGATCACAATTTCACTTAAAATGGGAATGGTCTATTCAATGATATTCATGCATTAGTGTACTGGTGGAGCATGATGGTAAAAAAAGATTATATACAGTAATAACTACAGTGAAACACGCAATCTGATTGGTCAATACCCGTGCAGGATGAGACAATCCTGTACAGGTATTAAATGCCTTCCGCGGGGTTTTCAAAATGTCGGAACGAAAACATTTCAATGCGTGAAATAAACAATAACAGTATATTAAACGAGCGGCAAGTTCACCAAAACAGTTTCGGAAAGCGTAAAAAACCATTCGGTATTCCTTTAATATTTTACCTTTTCATAAGCCTTGGTATCAATCAAGTGAATAACAACCAGAAGGTGAAAGTAAAACTCAACTTCAGGCAATACAGGAGTGGCAGCTGCTTTTCCTGTTCGCGGTCGGTATACGGTCAACACATCTGTTTCCATAGGCTAAACAGTATTAAATGTACAATTTACAGCCATGACAAAATTACTATATATAATTGATGAGGCTGGAGTTTCTACACAGCTATTGTAATAGCACAGTACAATGGCTGTTGCCAGTGGGTTGAATTCGTGGATTTAGAAGTAAAGAAAAAATGAAAATTTAGACTCCTTTCTTTTGCAAGAGTTCTTCTGTAATCAAGGTCTATTTTGTTCTATACTGGCAGGCAAGCGAAATACGAGTTGGGCAGAATCCTTGATGTATTTTAATGGTACAATAAAAGGAAATTAACAGGGAATCCGGTATACTAGTGCATGGACGTATATACAGTATATACTGGGCTCAAAAGAAACGAATAATTATTATTATAGTCACTAACAAGCTGTGCACTCAGTCATTTCAAATTTCCCACACAGGTGTCTCCCGTTCCTTGTCGTCAACTTTCTTGTACCTTGTATTGCATGTATAGCACGCCTCAATTCTACTTGGTGTTGATGGTGTCAGTACCAATTAAGGCAAAGAGATTACTCTGATCATTTCGATGAATATAGTTTTCATTGGTTATTTGCTTAGTTTTTTCATTATGATGGCTAACTAGTAGTTATATTGGGTATGGAGGAGATACCATGCGGAGGAGGTATGGATTTATACAGTATAGTAATCCCTATGCTGATGATGGTGCTTGATTATTCATGCTGATGCATTTCGACGAGATATATAGGTTCCATCCCTACTGGTGAAAGCACGCTCGAAATCTTAGCATAAAATAAATGTAATAATGGAGTGTTGTTGGTCTTGTGTGACTTAATTATTTGTACAGGAATTTATCATATCTCGGTAAATTGGATTTTCATCATTGGCTTATCCCCAATTATTGATTGTCCAACAATGCATTACAATCCCTGAGTACAACAAAATACAGTTACCTCATCCAAGAACTTCAGCAGTTCATGCTTTGCTTGTGATGCTAAAAATTACAAAACTGATGTTAACTTATTATTATGAATTTTTTCTGCAACATACATCAGTACATGTCCTTCACAGGATCATACAAATATCCTCCCTTGTTTATGTAAACAAACCTTAAAGGTGATGTAAAGTCCGTTCTGCGCAGGCTACATTCCAATGGAATGTTGTTAATATTTCGCACCTTCCGAACTTTCTTGAATTGAATCTCTAGTCTGTATTAATTCACAAGCATAGCGAACCAGAAGAGTGTTAAAAATTCAGTATAATATATATCTAATCGTATTTTACAACTGTAGCACTGAGTTCAAAATGTAAACAAAGCGTTTGTTTACATTACGGACTTTACATCACCTTTAAGAACTAAGGAAATTATGTTACCTTGAACGAAATATCCAGTAATAAGTTTTCTCAACAATGGATGGTTCAGTTTTTTCCTGGTGGACGAAAGAGATCTCAGAACTCTCAAAACGAAATGAGGTTCTTTGCTGTTTACACCTTTTTCTATATGTTTTACATGATCTTTGAAGTCTAAAAACACACAAATACCAATGTAGGTTGTTGCAGCACTGAACAAAAATATGGAATGCCAATTACTGAAAAATAATACTAATAATATCAATATTTTTTCCATTCCAAAATATTCAACCTATTTTATGCCAAGACAGAAATACCAATGCAGGTTGTTGCAGCACTAAACAAAAATATCGAATGCCAATTACTGAAAAATATCAATATTTTTTCCATTCCAAAATATTCAACCTATTTTATGCCAAGACAGAAATACCAATGTAGGTTGTTGCAGCACCGAACAAAAATATCGAATGCCAATTACTGAAAAATATCAATATTTTTTCCATTCCAAAATATTCAACCTATTTTATGCCAAGACATGAAAATCTAGACTGCATTCCAAGTGCTTCCCTGCAGGGAGTCTCCACTATTGATTGCAGCACATCTAACTGGCAGCGCAGTTGTAGCCAAAATATTGATTTTTGCAAAGTAAGTATTGTCCTTCCACCAAAAAAGATCAGATCGGGAAAACCCGAAAACTTAATATGAAACTTTGTCCGATTATAGATGACATAGCTTCTGCATCTCAATCACCTCATCGTCTCGAGATTGCAGGGAATGCCATTTTAGAAACTCAAGATTTCTAAATTATAGTGCACAGACTTCCTAGCCATGGTCTGGTCGTGCCACCAACCAAACTAATGTACTGCCACCTACAGTACTGTTCATGCACGGGAAAGTTAACAGTCACGTGCGGGACGGAAAATTTCTCGTCCCGCGGAATAAAAATCCCGTTACCCGGGAAGAATTTTCCGTCCTGCGGGACGGGAAATTTGTCCCGTGGGACGGGAATCGTGTGAGGGATTATATCAATATGTAAAATTTGCTGTCATTTGTTGACTGTCTGTTGTGTGGTCAAGACAACTAAATTGGGAAGGTTAAACCACCACAGCGAGGAACGTATAGTAAAATTGAAGGAAGAAGCAAAACGCCACCTCAAAGCCGTTGAAATATAGAGACTTGGATTTCCTATCGAAGTTTTAGATTTAATCATGTTTTGTTTGTTTCCCTTGCTTACTGCACTTAATCATATAGAGGGCAAAATTACTCATATATATGATTGGCTAATGAGGAGGGCATTTTTTCTTCATTCAGGGCAAAATTACTTGTACCTAATTGGCCGAGACGAAAGCGGCGAGCGCGGGAAGTTTCTTTTATAAATACAGATTAAATAGCAATAAAAACAATGGCTTCTCGCTTTCTCGTCGCGGATAACGATGTTATTGAGGAATTAAAATAAACTAATTAATGGCGGTAATAACAAAACCCTCAAAATGGTAAAAGGCATTCACATGAACTTAATTTCTACAACGTTTCAAATAGAGAAAAGAAAATTACGGATAAACCTCTGTACTGTTTTGAAATATGTTTTGAAAAAAGTTGTATACGTTATAATATAAAGACATTTACAGCCAATGTAATACAAGTTGACTAGAAATTTAATCTAGATTTTAGAGTCAGAAATCGATTTTATCGTCGGAGTCTAGATCACCGTTTTCTAAATAAGACATAGTCAGTTCGGTGATGTCAATCACATCTCCTTTTTACGAGATTGTTTTGCGTTTTTTTGGATAGCTATGCCTAGAACAATCCGGTCGTCGAATTTTGACATTGAACCATTCGATCGCTGCGTCTGGGCAGAAATCATCAATCGAGTCACATTCCTGGATTCTGAGATTCGCTTCCAGTCGATCTTCAAGTCGATTACGCCAGTCTGTTTTTACTCTTCCCATAGTGCTAACCATTCGTTCGCAATAACTCGATAATATACAGCACATTAGCGCACTCTTTCCGAATTTCCCCTGAGGTAAGCATTCTATAGACCAGACATCCAGATAACTGCTATTATAGGGTGTATCAAATGACAAAGTCGATTCTTCAGTATATCCCACTCTGCATGCAGGAATCTCTGCTATATCACAAAGATCACGCTCTAATAACGGCGTGAAATGCTTGATAAGTTCAGTCATGTTCAAATCTCCATAAGATAGAAGCTGAGTTACATCAGTTGGCCATCTGGTGCAGTCGAGAATATCTACCAAATGTTTGAACACAAGACAGATGGATAAACTTTCAAACCGACCGCGGACGGCATCAGAAAGAGCAGCAATTTATAGTCAATCGGTAAATCTTCCTTACTTCTCCGTTCACTTGCAGCTTCAAAATTTTTCAGCCTTCTTCCTTGGTAAACGAATGAGTTATCATCTTCGAACGTAACTTCACTTCTAAATTTGTATAAGTGAGGCCAGATTATTCCGCTTGGTTCAGTTCGTTGTGATCTAACGCTTCTCGGACATGTCCGTGTAATTTAAGCATTGTCCATTTGAATTCTTGTATTCGACGAACTGCTTTCACGGGGTCATGTTGTTGCTTTTGCTCACTGAGAGACATTCTAGACAAGATAGATACAGTAAGACATCAAGATAAATAGCGATGGATATTGGGCATTTCCCATGCTCCCACTTGTTAAGATAACCATTGAACTGTCCCCGCTTTTCGGTTTGACTATCATTTTTTGAAAGTTCTTCAAGATGCATCATATATGCTCCATAGTGCTTTAAAACAATCTTTATGAGTACAGTTCCTGATGCCTTGAAAGATCTTGGCAGTTTTTCTCCCAATGCAGTACCAAGCTCCTTCAGCGCTTTCAATCTTTTGGAACTGTTTCGATAAATCTTGTAGAAGAACGCAAGGATTAGGTCAATTTCTTCAAACACAGAGTTTCCAAATACGTTCTTTGCAGCCAGCTCGATCCTGCATGTGATTGAAGCAATGTATGGCAGTTAACCAGGGTTATTTCCAGGGAGATTCCCGCTTCAAAAGTGCTGCAACACCTCTTTGTCAGTGGACTCCCAGGTTGCATGACGGAAGCTCTATCCACATTCAGCCCATGCAAACGGGAGGAATAATCTACTATGCCTATGCGATTAAATGCTTCCTTATAATACACTCGACCAAATGATTGGCATCCGCCACTGCAGGGTTTTCGACGCTAAGGAATTTCATATTGAATTGTCCATCATTGAGGAACATAACGTAAATAAGTTCTTGATCAATTACATCACAGTTAATAGAATGAGATAATTGTTAAATAATAATAAACCACCTACGTTGTCGCTGTTAAAGCTGCTACGTCAAAGGGAGCTGGACCACCTGGGCTGCCGAAAAACGCAAGAACATCTGAAGATAGTAAGTGCTGACTGCGTGTATAATTTTTATTTCGTGCGACATACAAGCGTCGTTGTTAAATATACGACTGTGATTACACTTGTGTCCGTACTGCCATCAGTCAAAATGGACTAATACTCAGCCTTCACGAGAATTTCTTTCAGGGGAGCTTTAAATTGTTCTGCTATATACAGTAAAAGTCAATGAAATTTGCTGTAGCTTTCAGAGGAGTGCGGTATTCTCTTTGTTTGTCAATTCCATTTTTTTTTCTTGTAGTGCCAGTAATTCGGGGTAGTCATTAAATGGCTTCTCCTTGAAGCCCTTCTTGGCAAGGCAATAGGCCGTGTTGAACCGCATTTTTAAGACTTCTTCTGAGTGCTCTTTCATCTTGGTTGTTGACTTCCCAATCGGAGTGTTTTTCATTACATTTTCGGTATATCGTTCGAAGCCAAGATGTTTTTTCATTGCTATACAGTATCAACAGCATGCTTGTGCATATCAGTGTTGACATGCTTATCGAGAGAATCAGAGGTCGCGCTTTTGGAGCATTCGACCCATGCACGACTATACTGTAGTTTTTCAACCCTTGGAGCCGATCGGCCCGATTGTCGTTTTCATTACACGTCGAGCATCGAATGTTTCCGACATTTTCACCAGGTTGTAGATATATAGATAGATAGATATAGATAGAACATTTAATTGAATCAATATTTACAGTCTTGTGAACTGAATTACTATTGAATTTACAAAAATGAGAATATATGAATATAAATATATTTATAAATATATGTATGTACCTATATATGTTTACATATCATGTTTTTACACATCGTGTTGTCTCTAATAAAAAGTCTAAAATCTAAATGTAAATGTATGTTCATAACTATTTAAAATATTAACGATCTGAAATTACCTACAAGGTTGCATTACGTGCGCAATATGGAATAAAGGAATTACTAAATCTGTTCGTGTGCATCTTGGGAAGATTATATTTTCTGTTTGTTCTGAGATTGTTTGGTTGTGAATTTTTCGGTGGCAATAGTTCCTTTAACTTATGATCATTATTTGCTTCGATTGATGAAAATAGTTTTACACACAACTTTTCCCTTCGATCGTACAATGTTTCTAACTTTGCCTTTTTTAATGCTTCGATGTAACTCGAGTCTGGGTGGATAATCCGTAGCGCTTCTGAATACTTTCAATTTCCATTGATAGGTATAGTTAGGGAGACTCGAGTGGAAGACGTGGCAAGCATACTCAACGACAGATCTTATACATGCGGTATAAAACTTGTATAAGGATCTAGTTTCCACTTCAGCACGTTTTAATTGCCTTAATAAATAAAGTCTCTTAGAAGCCTTTTCCACGGTATTGCTTACATGTTTGTTCCATTCCAAATCATTGGTAACTATCATGCCCAGAACTTTTGCGGATTTTACAATTTCAAATGGCTTCCCGTTTATATTTAGGGGTTCCTCAGTAAAGGGTTGCGTGGTAAAGTTTATCCTCGCTCTTTACATTTGCCAGGGTTCAGTTGAAATTTGTTGTCATTCGACCATTTATTTACTTCGTCTACTCTATCTGGCAGGGAACTAACACCATCTTTTGGAATAACTTCGGAAACCGAAGTTTACGTCTGCAAATTTCCACAGGTTGCTAGTCGTGGATTTTGTAATACATAGATCATTTATTATTGCTAGGAATAGCCAGGGTCCGATTTTCGTTCCCTGTGGAATACCGGCAGGAACTTGTAAAAAATTTGAATGCACAGAGTTTATTTTAATTCACTGAGTTCTACCACGAAGAAAGTCAGCTATCCAATTTACAACCGTTGGCTTTATTTCATAATTGGATAGTTTTGCAACAAGTAGATTGTGGTCGACTAGGTCGAAGGCTTTGCGATAATCAAGTAGAGCGACTCTTACTGTAGAGCCCGTCCCATCAAGTGCATCTAGCCAGGTATGCATCATTGAAATAAGCGCAAGAGTCGTGTTTGACCGTGGGATAAAGCCAAATTGCATTGCACGGGTCTATGTTTCTTAGTAGATTAGATTTTAATTCATACTCGATGATGAGGTTTTCTGCAATTTTTGACAATGTTGAAGTTAAGGATATTGGCCTGAAGTCCTTGTTAAAATCTGTAATGTTTTTGGCTTTAGGAACAGGTGGCACATTTGCTATTTTCCCTACCCTAGGCACCTTGCATTCACGGAAGGATGCATTAAATATATGAGTAACTGCAGGTGCCAGAATGTCAGAAAAGCTCTTTAGAACCCAATTGGGGAGCTCATCAGGACCGCTAGCTTTGGAAACACTGATTGCACGCAGTAGCTGCTCCACTGTTGTTTCTGAGACGCTAATTGGTTCATCATTGTCAGTCGATAGGTTAAAATCTTCAGGCATGCAGCGGGGGGAAATCTTTCATGACACTGATAAAGGCCTCGTTAATCCTATTTCCTAAACCTTCATCACTGACCCCAACGTCAAATATAATCATGGATCTGAGGTCTGGCCGTGTTGATTGCTGACCACTGAGCTGTTTTACCTCTCGCCACCAGTCTTTAGGTTTCGAATCCAGGAGGTTGCTAACTTTTTTCTTATAGTATACTTTACGACAACGTTTTCTTTCCCGATTTACTTTGTTTCGCAGCAATTTAAACACGAAATTGTTACCTAAGGCAAATGCTTTTTGTCTTTGTAAAATAAGCCGTTTCAAATGGCTAGTCATCCACGGACGATCATTTGGGTTTACTTTAATTGATCTTTCTGGCATTATGGTATTTAAACCGTAATATCTATATATCCCATTCAAGTTTAATGTTGTATTCTTTCTCCCAGTTTTTCTCCGTCTTAAGTTTAGGCACGTCTTCTATGTCACTATATGTGTGAATTTCTATTTTCAAAAAGTTTTTTTCCTTATATTCAATACTTTCCCCCAAGATGTACAGGATCAAAATTTTTGAATTATGATTGGTTCATTTAATTGCAATAATAGTTGAACCTCTGTGAACACATTAATATAAATTATTATTGTCACTAATTTATACCGATTTTGTTGTAATAAATATTTGTTTTACATTAAATCTTGGTGAAAAGATAAATAATATAGGTACTGCGTCTTGGCTGTATGGTTTAAATAAACAGGTCATCACAAGATGCAGTTTCTGTCAAAATATTGGAAAAAAGTGGTGATTTGACAAACAATTATTATGTACTGTATCACGGTTTTTTGTTTTATTTGCACTTTTTTATATCGCATATCTTCAAAAGAGCATTGTCATTTGGAAATCGCGACATATTAATCTGTACCCTGAGATTCTTATCCATGGGACAGGATTACGATCCCAAGGGACGACATTCCCGTCCAGAGGGATGAGCTTCAGGTGATGAGTGATATGCTATAGTTTTTGTGTTTTCGGGCCTGCAAGCTTTGCCAATAAGTGGGTAGCCTGCTTAGCAGGCGTTTAGTGCGAGCGGGAGAAGAAAGGGCGTCGTTTGAGGAAACGCCTGCCCAAATGGCTATGACAAGTTAGTTTTCGCCCATTAAGGATGATTGACGTTTTGTAATTAGCACCGTCACCCATTATCCAATCATAGTCGAGATTTATATTTAGCATCATGCATACCGTTTGCTCGGCAACTAGGGAGATTTGCATAGATTTTATGTACTATTTATATCAGAAATAAAGATGGTCTGATAAAACACGCACTGCGAATGTTTTAATTCTAGTAAGTTCATTGGAGAAGTAAATTTCAAAAAATTCGTTGTGTATGTCGAGAAAATCAAAGTTAAAGTTTATGTAAACAAGGAAATCTCTATCACATATAAAGATACGACACGTTTATGATTTTTCTTTGCGTTCTCCTCATGAATTATTAATGACTTTTTGAAGCTATTTTAGACAACAGTCACACAAGAGCTTTTATCCTTTAAAAGGCTCCTGAACCACTAACAGTTGAGCGTGTTTTGAAATGTTAATATTCTTTATAAAATCATCGTCCAACTTCATAGCTGCAATGCCAAGTATAAATGTAGCCTCAACAAATATCAAGACAACTATAGGAAATATTCGATCCCTGCTCGTGCTGGCATCAGATGATCAGAGCTATTAAAATAATTTGCCGAATGATATAAATGTATTTATTGAAACTCAAACTTTTCCGTATCCCGTTGGAATAATCGCGATAACCGGCGTCTTCACCACGTAGCAAATTAATAATAGACTTTCTCTGTTCTGGTTTCAACTGAATTTCGAAGCCTAAATACTTGAAATATAAGAAAGAGTTTCCTCCAAAGCATTAACAGGCATATTTTTTAATGAGAAATATACGGCTATCGCTATTCGACACGCGAGCAAAATTGTTGTTGACATTTGAGTTACGTAATTACTTCCGTTAACGAGATTAACCAATGGGAAGCTTTTCCGAAGATTCTTCGGAGAAGAACAAATTTGTCATAGGCATTTGGGCAGGCGTTTATTTAACGACGCCCTCTCTTATCCCACCCGCACTAAACGCCTGCTACGCAGGCTAATAAGTGGGCTGTACTTTAAACTGACACAAACACTGGCATACACCCTGTTAAACTGGCACAGCTACCTGGAAAGCATAATTCTGGATCAGGACGGAAGTTGATGTGCAAGACTCTTCTCTTGGCAAGGAAAAATTGTCTGGTGTTAGACAAAGTAAAATAATACAGTTGGGTGCATTTAGGCCCATTCCAGCTTATAGGCTTGTTTTAGACAGCATATTTTTCATTTGCTGAACTTAATTGACAAATTAGGTATGACAGAGCGACTTACAGTATGAATCAATTCAGTATGGTAGACTTTGGAGTGGCAAAAGATTGACACAAGTTTGGTAGAGCATGTCATGCTGCTCCACTCATATATGTGCCAAACATAACCCACCTTTTTCAAATTTGTTAGTATTAGATTAGCCATGTTGTAATTTTTTGAAAAATAGACTTATTTGTTTTGAATTTTGTTAGGATTCGCTCACGAATGCGCTCCAACCTTTGCAATAATCAGGCCTGAATATAATTTTTTGTGCCCTGCCTGTCACAATGACCAGCATCATTGAAATTGCGCCTGTCACAAAATAAAATGTATCGGTCACCAAAACAAGCATCGGTATATTTGGTTCCATACTAATTACTAAAATAATAGTAACTAATAGTAAACAGGACATGCAAAAGTCATATGTAGGCATGTAGTTAGACTAGTTAGTGCTGCAGTTGAAGAAATTAAGTGCTAATACTGGGAACATTTATTTATTTATTTATATTTATAGAAAGTTTAGAAACAAATAATTGAACTCAAGTGGTCAAGTTAGTGAATGAGGTCATGAAATCAATAAATCATGTCTATCTCTATAAAAATGAATAAGTCCAAATGCTCAAATAATAACTATGACTATACTTTAGTTTGTTACAATGGCACCACGCTTCTTCGCCACTCGCATTCTGGACTCGATATCGCGAGAAACTCGCAACACCAATGCGTGGTATTATGCAATCTTTCGATTCTTTGCGAAATAATTATTTTAGCCAATCTCATGTGTCAACATGCACAATTGCTCTCAAAAAGTTAAAAGACGATCGGTTTAAGGTTCCTTGTCCCAAAATGGACAATGATTTTTGCCGAACCATTTACCGGACAAAGTGACCAATGCAATCGAAATAGTACCTGTCAAAACGGTTGAAATTGCGGATTTGTACCGGACAATGTCCGTGACCGGCCGCTAATATTCAGGCCTGGCAATAATATTATATTTTTATGCTGTTTGAATCATGCGTTGCCATTCTTGTTTAATTTTGTATCTAATACAATTAAAGCCTCGGGCAAACAAGGATGATAGTTGAAGAGAGTTGCAACTCTCGCTCGTGTTTTACTGCCAATCTCATTGACTCTCATGCACTCTGATAAACTTTGAGCTAGTAAAAATTTTGATGAGAGTTTTCAATCATCAACTCTCATCCAACTAAAGACTGTTCTGTTTGACCTATGGTATGAGGCGTCCAAAAGGGATAAAATTATGAACACACACACAATTAAGTCCAATGCTTGTAAACACTATGAAATCTCACACATGTAATACGAAACACTCAAAAAAGACATTCGAACCATGCGCAAATAAGCCGAACCTCTCACACACAAGTCGAAATGTCACACACGCAATACGAACCTCTCACACACAAGTCGAAATGTCACACACAAAAAAGTCGAACTTTCTTCGTGTGGGGTTCGGCAAATTAGCATGTTAATTTATTTAGGATGAAAAATTTGCATACATTTCTGCACTTTGTTTACGGCGGGAGAATAAAATGTTGCGATTTCCCGCGTTTTAACTACAAAGGCTGAATTCTATCTTCCGTCACATGTATGCAAGTTATCCTCTTCCATGCTAAGTCAAACATGTGAGCCAAAAGAGTGCCGTTGGTCCAGGGGATAGTTGGCGAACTATCTGTCCCAGATAATAGGCCCAGGCAAGATCAGCAATTTGGTGCCACTGAAGCTTGCCGAGAACTAGAGCTGATAACGGGAAACGCTGACGCCGAGAAACAGTGCAAATGGTCCTGTTGTTAGGGGGGCTTGTTACTTCCTCTACTTTGTGTAGTCTTTGCAGGTCGATTTTATATTCACCCCTTGGAGAAAGCAGGCAAAAACATCTTTCAGGAAATATTTGTTCTTTTCAGAAGAGGTTTTTGCACGGCGTCGAGTATTAATACAAGACCGCCAGACCACGTTGTCTTGTTGGTCCAGGGCCAGATCTTCGTTGCAAGTCATAGTATAAATTGCTCTTTTGTGCTATTTCCTTGTACTAGGATGCTTGTGTTTAAACTTGAACTCGCACACGAAATCACTGAAATAATAACAGGACCATTTACACTGTTTCACGGGGTCAACGGCGATGGCGAGTTGGCATGAATGGCATTATTGTTTTCAGCTCTAGTTCTCAGCAAAATCGATTGTTTATTTCATGATCATCTTCAGTGGCACCAAATTGCTGATATTGCCTGGGCCTATTGCATAGGGCCTATTGTCTGGGACAAATTATTTGCCAACCATCCCCCGGACCAACGACTGAATTCTATCTTCCGTCACATGCAAGTTATCCTCTTCCATGCTGTTGTATGCAATTAAAAAGTATCCCTATTCAAGCCAAACATGTGTGCCAAAAGAGTGCTTTGTAGTTTAAACCCGGGAAATCGCAACATTCTCCCGCTATTACGCCGTAAACAAAGTGCGGAAATGTATGCAAATTTTTTCGTCCTAAATAAATTAACATGCTAATTTGCCGAACCCCCACGAAGAAAGTTCAACTTTTTTGTGTGTAGAGGTTCGGCTTACTTGCACGTGGTTCTAATGTCTTTTGTGAGCGTTTCATATTACATGTGTGACCTTTCATAGTGTTTACAAGCATTGGACTTAATTGTGTGTGTGTGTTCATAATTTTGTCCCTTCTGGACGCCCATACCGAGGCTTAAGTTTGGCACATGAAGAGCATGCCTTGATGTGTTTGAAGAGCATGCCTTGACAAATTGTCTGGTATTTGCACCAATCAATTTTTTGCTCAACACCAGGGAGAGTGGGCAAACACAGGGGTACTTGACATGTTCAATCCACAACATTGAAAATGTCAAATACCCATGTGTTTGCCTGCCTTCTCCAGGCTCAAGCAAAACATTGATTGGTGCATTAGATAGACAGATTAATAAAATAATAAAGTTTGGTGCATTTGGTCACAATGCAGCTTGCTGGGTTAAACAATTCCTATAACCATAACATTTTTCTGCCACATTTGTCAATGTGAACATGCGTCTGAATAGTGGTAAGCATGTAGATAACTGTTTTATAATATATATGCATTACTTCTTCAAAGACGATTATTATCTTGACAGTATATAGGAAATTGAGATGGATAGAGTCATAGGGATTCATTTGCTACCTGAAAATAAAATACAAGCAACGTTTCCAGTTGCTACTAACTTCCCAACAAAGGGCCTTGGTTCGAAACTTCGAAACTTATTTTTCAGGTAGTTGAATCCATATTCATCTGACACTGCCTACACTGGCACAGATCGTTATACTGTTTGGCCAGTCACCACTGTCAACACTGACACACATACCTTCAAGTGCTAATTTTTCGAGTTCTGCTTTAGACAACTCTGTGTTCGCAGAGTCGTTCTTCTCTTCATTACTCTCCCGAGCGTCCTTCATTTCAGCATCTTTAGACATGTTTATTGACGACTTTTAATATTAAATCTTTTCAAATCTTTTCAAATAAAACAACGAGAAAATCTATTTTTCTCTTTGACCCAAATACATGTGCAAAGAACACTGCGCATCATTTAGGGGCGGACCATTTGATTTTGAGGGGGTTGGAAGATTCAGTCTGTGCAAGAATTTTTTCCGCCCAGGGGAATAAGACAGATATTTTTTCCTGTAAAAGTGCAACGCAAGATATTTTTTTCCCAATGTATTTCGCGGCAGGATATTTTTTTTGCCCCTCATAATAACTGCTTACAGTAACTTAAGGCTTTCATATAGCTATCGTCAGAGACGTTAGCCAGGGTTTTCAGTCAGAGGAGGGCGAGCCTGAATCCCAAGAGGGGCCAAGGAATTTTCACTGTGCTTTATTTTATATGGTTATGTCTTAATGTTCCCCACACTAAAGCGTGCAGGTTTACTTACAAAAAATGTATAACTACACCAAAACCTAAAGCATGCACTCTAGATAGAGTAGAGTACTCGAAAATGGGGGGATGTACAGTATATGAATGACCTGTAACCTTGGGCGGTTCGGGGGAACCTCGGAAATGCTATATATTTCCTGCGTTTTCAGCCATGGATTCGTCCAACAACTTTGCTGTACTAAGTCTAAGGAACACTTACTGTCCTTTATTTTAAACAAGGGAAAATCACAAAATGAGCTTTGATTAATATGTAATAAAACAAGATTTCAATAATGCGATTTTTAACTGCCCTCCGAAACAACAATGTTCCACCAAATATAGCTCTGTAGCTTTTCAATCGTTCATACAATTCGCATTAAAATCATCGTATATACAGTACGTTCAACTTGCATCCTGTAGATGGGCCTTTGAAGCTTTAATAGTTTGGAGCTATGTTATCAAAAAACGCACACAGACTCAACCATCCAAAAATACTTTTTCTACCATGCATATTAGATATGTATAAAGAACTTATAAACTTGTACATATCTTAAGCCCAGATTTTCTCAGGGGGGGGCAACAATTTTGCCAGGGAACGCCACTGGCTATCGTATATTATAGACTCCAAAGGCGGTAGAATCCCTGTGATGTTGTCCACTGTTCACCCAGTGTTCTTCAAAAGCAAATGTGCCTGCTCAAAATGCAAAATATTGCAAGCCTGTGGACACAATACTGAACTGAAGAACGTCAGTAGATTTACATGTCGGAATTTTTTTTTGAGCGCTTTCTTTTGCATGATATTTTTTCCTCGATTGTACGCTGCATGATTTTTTTTTCTTTCTCCTTGGATTGCAGGAAATTTTTTTTCGAAATCCCCCCCCCCCCTTCTCAAAAATCAAATGGTCCGCCCCTTACCGGGTGTGTTCACTACACATTGTTACAAGTATCGTGGTCTCAAAGGCGCGAAAATTTTAAATTTTAATTTTTAAATTCACAAAATGGGCAAAGGTTTACTATTTTGGGATTTCTTTAAGAAATAGAAAACGAGTCGCGTGCGTTTATGGTGTGATAATGCACGCGGGGAATGTTGGAAGAATACGAGAGAAGCGTGTAAAACACGAGGCGTAGCCGAGTGTTTTACACGCTTCTCGAGTATTCTCCTAACATTCCCCAAGTGCATTATCGCACTATAAACGCACGAGACGAGTTTTTCTATTTCTTTTATAATATAAGTAGAAGATATTACATAGTAAACAATTTTACTCAAAAGATCGACGTTGAAATTCTCCTTACATGTACTCAGTGACGTCACGCCCATGCTTTTACTCATTCACTGTTGCTTGAATTTTTTTTTCTTTCTCCTTGGATTGCAGGAAATTTTTTTTCGAAATCTTCAACACCCCCCCCCCCTCTCAAAAATCAAATGGTCCGCCCCTTACCGGGTGTGTTCACTACACATTAGCGAGGTTTAGCAAAGACGACGCGACGTCAACGAGGACGTGAAAATGGCGTAAAAATGGCGTGATATGCCCATCTATGGATGTGCCCACGCCATTTTCACGCCATTTTCACGTCCTCGTTGACGTCGCGTCGTCTTTGCTAAACCTCGCTATTGTTGCAAGTATCGTGGTCTCGAAGGCGACGTTGAAATTCTCCTTACATGTACTCAGTGACGTCACGCCCATGCTTTTACTCATTCACTGTTGCTTGAATTAGTTTAATTTTTGATCCTATAAAGCCGGAAAAATTGTTTAAAATAGTGGAAATAAAAAAGCAGTGATACACAGACTAACTTGCCAAAATTTTTCAGCATCCGGGCTGCTGGATTTGCCATGAAAGACGATAAATCGTAGGTTTCGTCGCGTTTAAACTCAGTTTCAATTTTCGAAATTATTGTATTTTTTATCTTTAATTCGCCGAAAATATATCTAGCAGTTATTATCAGAAGAATTGAAGGTACTTTCTAAATCACTTGTATTCAGTTTTTGTTGCCTTTTTGTATGTATTTGATCTTCCAGCTGTATCTTTTTCAAGTTTTTTTCCCAACTATTTTGTACGCTTTTACGCAAAACTTGTCGAGACAACAACAAATTCGACGAATACCAAGCCGGTTTATTCTACACGTAGAACTATAAAAAATTGCTTTGTTCCTTTGGTCTATTCCTTCTTGCTTTCTGGTAAATTTTGCATTTTAAAAGCTCTATAGTTTTGTTTATATTTTTGGCTAAAAAGCAGAGATGAAGCGGGGGGAAAAAACAGAGAAAGAGCAATTAAGCAGTGCTACAGATCACAGTGCATTATTGCGTCACAATGCACGCGCATTAGCCAATGAAATCGTCTGTTATATCCCACTTATATTATAAAAATATTTATTAGCCGCTTTTTAAATGTTTAAAACATTCTAAGTTGGTTTTATGTGATGGAAGGTCAGGGAGGAATCTTCGCTAAGTACTTTGTGATAGTTTATAGCACTAATATAAGAAAAAACATACTCCAAATCATGTCAATGATAATGCCATTTGTCATCTTCCAATTTCTCCTTATAAAGATCTGAGCACGTTCGTAAATGGCCCTGGTTTGAAAATGGCCCTGAAATAGAGTTGAAATATCACCACCATAATTTGTGTCTTGTTTTTTTACATTAAATAACTCATATAAGTCATATTTTGATTTTTGAGTTTACATGTCAGATGGTACAGGATTATTTATATAGCACTATTAAATCATGTTTTATTCTTTTTGTATACTGTAAGAAGGGTTGTCAGGTTTTATCACTTGTCAGCTCGTGTTTGAACGGGCCAAAGAGATGATAAGCACTTTGTCTTTGGCCCGAAAGGTGTTTCTAATCTGTTTCATGTATGCCCGTATTCTAAAAGCTCACTCACACTTAATAAGTGGAGGTTCAATCTGAGCTTTACTTGAGTGTCAATCAGGCCCGTAGCTGAGGGGAGGGGGGGGGGGGGGGGTGGCCCCCAGTGCCCTCCCCCCCCACTCGGAAATAAAATTGAAATTATGCCTCCCCCCAGCTTACGTTGTGCAGAACTAATAGCTGTTAATGTTGTTTTTTGGGGGGGCTAAGTACCGAAATTTGGTATGAAAAATTGAGATAAAGAACCTGGAAACCAATTGCAATCATGGGACAAATTCTGTAAATTTTGTGGTTAAGTGATGTTTCGAAAATTTTTGTTAGGTTTCGGAAAAATTTGGTTCGTCCGGAAAAAATTTTGGACCCTTAAAATGGTACACTGACCGAAATTTTTTTGGCGACGGGGGGGGGTTCTCATCTCAAACCCTCTGTTAGATTCTTTCTGCAGTGCCCCCCCAGAAATTGAGAGCCAGCTACGGGCTTGGTGTCAATGTTGTTTTTGAATAGCTGGAGGATTAGGTCCGTACCTTACTATGTGACTACTCACCCTCCAGCTATTCAAAAACAGCATTCATTTGACACTCAAGAAGAGCTCAGTCTGCTCAGATTGAACCTCCGCTCATTGAGTGTGGGTGTGAGTGAGCTTTTAGAATACAGGCGGTAGTCCAAACTCAACTCAGAAATGTAGCTTGATTATTGCAATTTGCACATTTAGTATAATATTAAAAATTACAGTATATGGAACCAGAGGCCACAAAGCATCTCACAAAAGTTGAGTGGCACTGAGCCAAGAAAAGGGAACCTTTCAGTCAGGTAGTCCGTAGTCGGATTTATGGTTTCAAGCAGAGGGTTAAAATACATCAATGGTACAAGACAGTGCATAGAATGCACATATTCAAGCGCCTTCCAGTGGGGCCTTCATGCTCTTCCTGGGAAAATTTGTATTTTTGTACAGGGACATCTTGAAGTAATTAACATTGGGAGGAGGGGGTGTCCTTTCTTGTGAACATTTTGACCAACTTCGGAAAGGTTTGTCTCCATCAAATTTGTGATGGAAAAACTGAATGCTTGTTGAGGTGATTTTTTACAAGGTGAAAAGTCTGTGTGAGTCCAAATACGTCTTTTCCTTTGCACTTTTGAGTACTACTAGTTAGTTGACAATGTAAACCAAAACACAAAATTTCCCATCTAGTAGAATGGTAGAATCAGGGGCCGCGCAACAATTTTGCAATTAGGGGTGGGATGAAATAGGTGTTGAGATGAAGTAGGTTCACAGGCCTTGCTAGCCCTGGGTGTCCTCTTTGAAAATTACAAGCTCGGAAAGTGTATTAATTTTCCAGCTATTTCCCACAAAAATTTTGTTTAATGTAACAATGTGTACTATATTGCCTGATTATAGACAGATATACTGTATCTGTATGAAACACATGTCTAACTAAAAATTATTGAAGATTCATGTATTGTAAAAAACAATTACACAAATATGCAAAGTTCTGTCATGTCGAGTGTCACTCTGCTTTGAGAATTATGTAATACACATGCACGCTTAATTAAAACTGCGATACTGTAGAAGCCTATAAACCAAATATAGCATAGCCAACCGAGCATGCAACTATTAGTATTTGTTATACAGGTACTGTAGTGCTAGTGTAACAATATCCGAATTCCCAAACCAAGCACGAAAGGGCAAGCTTCCCCTCCCCCACGCACAAGGACAAGCCCACAGTCCCTCCCAGTCCCTTAGAATCTGTAGAAAACTAACTCTGACTATAGTTTTAAAAATTAATGGAAATATATTATATAAATCATATTAAGAAGTTCAATAGCTTTCTGTCATGCCTTCGGTTGGTGTGGATACACGTAAGTGGACCAAATAAGATGGTTGGTCAGCTAGTCATATTCATGCACAAAGCAAACCAGGAAAGGTTGACGTGTTAATGTGTGCTGTGTTGCTCAATAAGTGATTTGATTTTCGATACATTTACACTTAAAGTTACCTTAGTTTTCTAATTTCATTTGAAAAGTGACCAACTTTTTGAACTTAAAAATTAGTGTGTACGTCCCTGTTTGTTTATATACCTGCAGCTAATTCAATTAATTTAAGGTTGTCCTTCCAAAAACTTAAACTTAAACTCTGAGCGCGCAAGGGATGATGGGTTATTGCTTATTTATACTCATAAACTTTGAAATTTGCCTTTGCAAGAATACCTAAGACATATAGAAAACTAACGACAGAAAACATATACTTGCTGCAAAGGCATTAATGTTCTGAGTTTAAAGGCCTAATAGGTGAAAACCCATCATCCCTTGCGCGCTCAGAGTTTAAGGTTTAAGGTTGTGGAAGGATAACCTTTAATTATAATTATCTGGTTTAATACTGGACATTGTTTACAATATACAGGGTGCGATAATTCGCGTAATTACTGTACTGTACGTACTCAAGGTACGCCTGAATATTGATCTGGGCCACGTAGATACGCGAATTCTTGCTGTCTGCGTACTTACAGTACATTTTAAGCGCGCTATTGTGTCTGAATTACTCTGCGTATGAACGAGATTTTTCATCTTCGGAAAGATCAGGTTTTTACTGTAGCTGTTAAATGGTATGTACGTCATGCCAAATGGATAAAGAATAAACAAGTACGAGTCCGATAAAAAATGCTAGTCAGAATCGCATATTTTCACTGTTGAGAGTTGGGTTTAAAACCACTGAAAATTAACCCCCTTCGGTGAGTATTAAGTTGATGAATTTCATTTCAATAAACTACACACATATTCATAATTCTTAATAGAATAAATAGAATAAATCTTAGCTAAGCTATGACAAGTTCGTGATTATTGCTTTTTCTTTTGTTATGCACAGGTTTAATTAGGCACAGAGGTGAAAATATGCGATTAATCACAATCACCATAGGAGACATTGGTTATAATATTTTTTAGGGAGATTTTTCAGAGATAAACTGTATCTGAAAAATATATCAAAGCGAAAAAATTAAAAAGGTGTTCGACTCTCAAAAATATCTCGTACGGTGATTAAAGTGCCTATATCACTTGTGGGACCTTTATGGATTTGAAAAGAGCGTAAAAAGTTAGTTAATAAGTTCAAAAGATTTTTTTGATTTACAGTAGTGCAATAGTTTTGAGGATATAGGCCTATAAACAACGGACTGTTCCTGAGTCCCAGCTTCCTGGGCTCTAAACACGGCTATTGAATTCGGCCTTTTTCTCAACTGTCCATTGTGAATAGGAGCCTGGGACTCAGGAACTGTAGGTACAGTTTATAGAGGCCTGTATCTTCGAAATTACTGTACTAAATCAAAAAAATCTTTTTAACTTTTTAACTGAGTTTTTACGCTCTTTTCAAATCCATAAAGGACCCACAAGTGATATAGGCACTTTAAGGTAATTCCGCAGTTTTGCATTGCGCACTTTTACTGCGCACATCTTATAACTTATAGTTTCATCCATTATACGTACCGCGTTTAAAAAAAAAATCATTTTATGACAATTTTATGTTACTTCAAAACATCTTTGGTTAATTCGTGCAAAGAATTACGTTAAAATCAATGTTTTCAAAAAAGGCATGCAAAAGTGTAGATAGGGTTCCCTGTGTCTGTAGTATGTTTATTTACTTGTATTTCACGTTTTAATGCCACAATTCCCTAAAAAGATCGGTGACCCCCGTTTTTTAACTGATAATTTATTTCTTTAATGCATTTTACATTTCATATCCAAAATTAAAAGAGAGATCATTTCTGGATCTTGATAATAAAATCATTTATCAATGCATGAGTTCTCAAAGAAAGATATGTAAAGAAATGTGGAAAAGACATTTATGAATCAGAATTGTACACGCTAGTATTTTCATTTTGCTCGAAACACAATTTTTTCAAAAATAATTACAAGATAGGTTTACTAAAGCAACATCCGCGCTAAAAACGTCAATAAATATCGGGCTGTTGTGATTTTCCTGTTACTCGTAATGAGCGTCAAGATGGCGCCAAATTGGAGTAAAGGTGGTATATTGTGACTGTCATATCTTCTTAACGAGTTCGGTGACCCCAACTTAACTTTTTTTGTGTGATTTTTACTTTAAGTATATCATAAACTCCATGCCTGGGATTTTCTTGTTTGTTTCATTTATATCGAGTGAATAAAGAGCCATATTTTTGTTTTGAGTTACAAAACAGTTAAAGTATTCGCCATTTTTAGTTCGTGCGCATGCGCAGACGTTTTTCCGCGGTGTTGTGTCAGGCTCTATTTTGTTTTAGCCTGCGCACAGGCTAGCTCTGATTTGTAAAATAGAGCCTGGTACTCAGGCTAGCGTTTGCCCCACTTGCAAAGCCCCGAAAGGATATTTTCCCCCTCAGAACCCTTGTGACACCATGCATATATTTTGCATAATTACCTTTTGGGAAAAAACGTCGAATATCAAAATCAGACAGCGCTATATTTCCATCCACTCTAACAAGTATATTTGTCAGCTTCAAGTCTGTGTGCAAAATTCTATGATTTCTAGCATGTAATGCTGGAGCCCTTCCAACACTTGACGTATCACCTTTCGAGCGCGCAATTCTGTTATTGCTTCGCCTTCTTCCGTGATATAATCTTCAAGATTTCGTTCGTATATAAGTTCAAAATTAAACAACAGAAATTATGGTTGGAAATATCATCGTAGAACCAATAATTTACAATTCGTGGCGACTCATCTGCATTCCGAGAGGGAAGATACCTCTTCATTCTTCCCCCAAATGATCACATCAGAGTTTTGGCAAACGTTTTACTGTCGCTCTTTCTATGCCGTCAGATTTTTTACACTGTCTTGTCAAAACATACGCCATTGCCGTTTATTATTGTTATCGGCGACCAAGACTCCTTGACATCTTCCCAGACTTTTAAAAGCTCTTCAAACTTTGGTGTATACTTTACCGAGACATTTTTAAATTACCTTTACTGTAAAGAAGTATTTGGAGAGTTCTTCATGTATGATCACGCTTGTTTAATTATATAATGTTGGTTACGTAGATATAACATCAATCTGAATGATACGTATCGTGTTTTCGTGTCCTAGCCCAGGAATGCGACCACCTGTTGGCGTAAGTTTGATGTGATTTCTATAGGCTCTTTAACTAGAAATAGTTGAGAACAATAAGTTACGGTTATTAGTAAAACATGGAGTACGGAGCATGGAGTACGGAGTACAGAGCATTAGAATAGCCAAAATCCTTTATGATGGACTACATTGTTTATTATTACAAAATTTTATTATTAATAAAGATTTTTCGCGTTTAGGAAAGTAAGGGAAGCACGTTAGCGAAGTAAGAAAATGGGGGTTTTAAAAAACACTTAAAATACTCATTAATAATTCATAAACTTTGTGGCAAATCATGTTAGCCATAATATGTCACGTGGAGTGACTTTATATCTGATAAAGCATGAGGCATTATATAATTGTTCATCCTAATTAGTATAATTATATAATGGTTCATCCTAATTAGTATTCTTTTGTAGTCGTATTTTAAGCTATTCAAAATACTCGTTGTCGTGTTTTAAATAGTACATACGAAACTGCCAAAATCCATTGATACATTTCAAACGCGCCGGCTGTGTTAAATACTGTATAGATACTGGCCAAATACTGTACCAGACTGAACCAGATGTTGTCGTCTTTAACAATAAAGTTCAAAGAACCCTTAATATTTAATAGAACTTAAGACTAGTCTCCAGTCACGTGATATAATGCACGGAAAAGATTCAATCTTTCAAAATTGTATATAAATCCTAAATGTCCTAAATAACTCTACAAATGAACATTAATTAAATAAATAAAATTATAGACAAACTTAAATAGCGCCTTTCATTCATTTAATTCGTGCAGTATTTCGTAAATGACAAGCCACTGTCAACTGTCAACTTTTCTGGAAAGCAGCCTTTAATATGAAAAATTATTATGTTTTTAAAAAATCACTATGAAGTCAAATAGACTCAATACAGCTGACATAGAAAACACACACACTTCTGGCGTTTCGTACATGTTCTACATGTCTTAATTTATTCTATAACATGTATAGTTCTACAGATATCCTACAGTTATTGTGATTCAATATTCTAAAGATTGAAAGAATAAAAGTTAGCATTTTGCTGGCGACAGTAATGTAT